ACAGCAAACATGCAAACCACAGCAAAAAAGAGAAGAAACGCCTAGTTAAAGGTTTGGTAACAGACGAACCTGGCTTGGTATTCACATTTGACGTGGACGACACACCTGACGAGACGCTACTGGTGAGTAGTGAGGAGTTTAACTTACAGGGGTGCTAAACTATGGAATAATTTTCCTCATACTGCTAGAAATCAAGCAAGTTTTACATCTTTCAAAAATGCTGTTTTAGCAGATTTAATCTCAACTAGCAATCTCTGACCTTACCTCTGGTTTTTTTGATATTTTTATTTTATTGATATTCGATATTATACATTAATATTATATCTTAGTTCCTTGTCTTAGTTATATATATTCGCGACTGTCATGTAAACCAGTTTTTCTGTTGGCATTATCGTGTATATATAAAGGATGATTGATTGATTGATTGATCGATTACTATGATGGATAACAGCTGATTAACCTGGCCTGCTTGGTGGTGTAAGGGAACTGGGGATTAGTATAAAAAGGATACAAAGTGGTGAGAAGGGGGGGGGGGGGGGGGGGGATTTTTTCCAGATGTTTCTTTTCGAACCAAACACTTAAAAAGTAGCAAATAAAATTCTTGCGAGTAAATAACCAAAACTAAAATCATTCCGAGCTATGACCCTTAGTATAATTTCAGGTGAAGATATTTTCTATATAACTCGTTCATATTTTTTTCAGTTTGGAAGATTTTCGTTGGAAGAAACCAGAAGTTTTCTACTTCCACGACCTCAGAAACTACGTGAGTAATGAGAATATGAGAATGGAAATGAATTTTTTGCATGCGAAATTTTAAATTTTGAATAAAAGCAAATCAAACCACTCCAATCGACGTGGGTCATGAGAATGAAAAAAGGAATGGGGATATGAATGGGATTGGAGTGGGATAAAAATGGGATAAAAATGGGAATAAATCTTTGAAAATTAGAATATCAAAATGGAAAAAGAGCAAACTGCATAACAGTCGGTATGTAACACTAAGATTAGTTACAATAAATTTTCATAAAGTTATAAGATGTTTATCAATTGCAGCATGTCAAACCAGAAAGAAATATCGAACGACGAGAAAAGAGCGGAAGAAAACAAAGATGAAAGTGTTAAGAACGAGAAAGGTGAGAATGACAGTGAATAGACCTAATTCGTCTTGATATAAGGTTTACCCATTACACGTGTCATTCTCTCGAGAATAAGATTCTTTATTTGAGTTGTGTCCATGTTCATGTGTCTTCTCATGCGCAACTGTTAAGCAAAGCAACCATACTCAAGCGAATGACACGAGGTCTGTAATGGTAAAACATTGCGAATGTTGATCCAATAGACGAATATAGACCCTTGTGGCATTTGGAATGCAGCTCAATCTGGGGGACAAAATAATAAGTTCCAATCCTTTCTGCTTTGACGTCACATGCAAGGGGTCTATTAGAGTTACAGTGGGACAGATTTTTACAAGTTTAAGTAAAAAACATGCCAGATTTTCAAGAAAAAAATCTTAAAATTCAAACTCATTCTATCGTTTAAATACTCAATCGCTATTGGCTAATTTGTATGAAAATTTGTCTGAGTGGCCTGTGGTTGGTGTAGTCGCACTGAAGGGATGATGATGGAGATTTTWAAAAATCCTCACATTAAAAAAATGGTGATTATAAGAAATTTATTCGTATTGTTTTTGTTGAAGAAGCGGGCATCAAAACCTTTAAAACTGATCTACAAATCAGCCAGACTACGAATGCGGCTCCTTCATACAGACACTTGCAGGTAAGGAGAGGCACTGATATCCTGTGTTAAATGTTAAAGTACAAATTGTGATTTCAAGTATGCGTTTTCCTTTTTTAATTTGTAGACATGGGAACCTGAAAAGGATGACGAAGCAGCAGATCTAGAATATCTAGAGAAGGAGGATGAAGACTTGAAGGTGTGTTGTGTTTATGACGTAGCAATATCAAGTCATGCAGTGGTTATGGGTAGAGTTTTACAAACAAGTTGATAATTCAGAATACACTTTGCATTCTGATTTATGGATTAAAAAAAAAATCCTGTAAGCTTTAGACTTGTTTAGCTTCTGGATGCGTAAAGAAAGCACTAAAGGGGTTTTCCAAAGGGTAACCGGTGATTCTATGTGTGTCGGTAAGCACTGAAGGGGCTTTCCACAGGGTACGCAATGATTCTGCATACATATGAGCACTGAAAAGGTTTTCCACAGGGTACCCAGTGATTCTAGATTCGTGGTTTAGCACTGAAGTGGTTTTCCACAGGGTACCCAGTGATTCTAGATTCGTGATGTGGGCACTGAATTTGTTTTCCATTGGCGTGGTGTGGGCACTGAAATGGTTTTCCATAGGGTACCCAGTGATTCTAGATTCGTGGTGTGGGCACTGAATTGGTTTTCCATAGGGTACCCAGTAATTATAGATTGGCGTGGTGCGAGCACTGAAGTGGTTTCCATAGGGTGCCTAGTGATTTATGATAAGTATTTTTATCTTACACGGTTTCTATTCTTATCAATGAATTTTTCATTAGGGCGAAACCATCCTTTCGCCAGAGGAGATGTACAGATTAAATCCCGATGTGCAATCGACTTTCCTCGAAGACCTAAGTCAGTACACGTAAGTATTTCGAATACATATTACACAATACATGCTATTGCCGAATCGTTGCTTTTATAGTTCTGATAGATTTAATACTCCGTTGTGTTGTCTTGACTTCAGAACAAAACTTGAATTATCGTCGTTTTCCAAAGAAGAAATCGAGTTTGCTGAAAAAATGGCGAACGAAATCATGAAAGTAAGTCTGATTGTAGCTCTTGGTCTGTCACAACCAATCAGTGCAGTCACCGGAACTAACGTCATTCATAACTGCGGTTATTCCAGTCTTTTTTTCCATGGTTAAATCTGTACAGGACACGGCAGAAATCATTAAAATAGTATACTAATATCTAATTTGTTTTGATATTTAGGAAAACAAACAGAGAAAAAACAAGAAGAGAAGAAAAAATTCCAAACAGAATTATCGATGAACTGATTGTCTATAACTGACGGGAAGGACCCAGGGTTACAAGGGTGGGAGGGTGGGGAGTCGCTCTGGGTCTAAATACAAGCGTGACGTGGATTAAGCGCTTTGTCACGTGTCGCGTCGTACATGACAGCATTATGCGCATATGCAATGATCGAAAAAAATGAATTGTAATCTATATTATTATTATTATTACTGATTGTTTTGTTTGTGAGGACCCAGGGTGACAAGGGTGGGAGGGTGGGTGGCTAGTCGCTCTGGGTTCAAATATTTCCAGTTAATCCACACTGATTCTTATATACATCACGTGTCATGTGGTCACTGATAGTCCTAACACGCATGTTTAATGCTTATGCTTCTTAGGCCCCGTCCACACTATGCCGGATAAATTTGAATCCGAATTTTTATTTATTCGGTTAGGCCTACCGTCCACACTAGTTCGGGCAAATTCGGAACAATTCTTCACTGAAAACGAATTTTCGAAATGGAACCGAATAAATAAAAATTCGGATTAAAATTTATCCGGGATATTCTGGACGGGGCCTTAAATTGTACCTATGATAAAGGGCTGAATCATCATGATATTAAGAGCTCTATAGGGTCGCCGAGAGAGCCGCTCGTATCACATTATTTTGAACCTCTAACACTTAGGGTCAGACGACCTTGACAGAGATATATTTTTTGTCATTGTTTCTCTACTAGAAACAGGACTGACTTTACTGTAAATTTGATATGCAGCATTACGATTAAAACACATTTCTTTTCAGTTGAGAGATAATTCCGGCGAACTGCTTTACTGCGCTGTGTCCACTGCAGGATATCCGCTGTTAAGCGCAGATCCACAGGTGTGTATTGGGGTGTAAAGCCTTACCCTCTGGACTGTTAAGGATAACAATAATAAAGATTAGAAATGGCAAGTTATATATGCTGGTTTTCTATGTTATAGCCATTTCCTTGTGAAGTTTGCACGCTGTAATATTTTCCTCGCTGGCAATGCATTTTTAGATTTTTGGGGGGCAATGACAGCGCGACATGCAACAACACGCGCAACTTAACAACGGCGAGTGGATGCGCATACTACTTTGACAATGTGATGACGAAATTTATCGTCAATAAGAGGACAGCAACATAAAAAACTGATGTCTATTTGTTTTTTACAATAACAAAAACGATAAAGACTTCTCATTTTTAGCGATCAAAACAACCAACTGAAAGAGCGCGCGCTCGTTGACGTCAGCTTTATCTGTCTGTCCTCAGCGCGCGAGAAATTTGTAAGTTATTGTAAAAAGCGTGATTTTGCGACAAAACTTGTTGCAGCACGTTCAAACTTTTCATCATTTTTCTTTTTCTGTTTCATTTTAAAATTGCAAGCGTATATCAGTATAGGATAGACTTAGGTTTTTTTGCTAAAACTATTAAAGACTTGCACTGGCGGCACGAGTTTAATTGGAACGAATAAATCTAGATACTTAAAAATTGAGCGACGCAACGATATCAAAATTTAAGGAACTTGACGGGCCAGTGGGACACGATACCAGCTGGAACAGGAGCTTTATAATGAGAATTATCATTTCTATTAGATTTTTCAATAAGAATTTATTAAATCGACTATTCTCATCTTTAAATATAAAACTGTCTTCTCAATTTTACGTAATTTGTGTTTTTCAGTTTTGTGACCCGTCTAGTTGGATGCGCACGCAGCTCGAGATAACGGTCTATACGGTGACACAAATAACATAAAAAACAATTTTAAAGCGTTTTTTTTTTATATTAGGTATTTTTCACTCTTACATCGCTAAGAACCGTTATTCCCTAAAAAGGTATTCCAAAACTGAATTAATACCGTGTTTGACAGAGGTTTCCTGTTTTTTCACAATACCGAAACAATATGCGATCAGCACGACTGATACTCCTTGCTGATTGGTCGAGACAAGGTGTAAATCTAGCCCAATTTAGCCATACGTCAACAAGTCGTTATTTATTCGAAGGTTTCAGTATAGACCGGTATAGCTTGGATTTCTTTCTTTTTATCGCCACATGGTATAACGAAGTACTTTTCTACTCCTTAACTCACTTAACCGGCGAAGCAGAAAAAGTCCTAGAAAGCACATCAGAATTTTGTTGACCTCTTGAGTAGTGTATCAGGTGTATGAATATATCTTATGGTTGAACGTGCCACGAAATATCGTCCTTCTTCACCTCGTATGTGTATATAAGGGTTATCAGATGTGTAGTGTTATAAGATGATTTTCAAAGATGTTAGTAGCACTAGTCTCTCGTGGGAGTTACGTCTAGTAATTCAGTTTGTTTTAGTTGTTTCTGTAACGCTGAGGCTGGCATCAGCTAGCGAAGACGGTACCATCATCTTTCCTCCTCTACCTAAGGATGAGCCGTACAAACTTCAACCGAATGCAGAAACTAATTCAAATGGACTCATCGATATTTCTGCCGGGATCGCGAATATCCTCAGAAGCCAGCCACCTTATGGTAATATTATTATTGAATTCTAAAAGGTCGTAATTTGTTTGTAAAGGATAAATTTCGTGGCTTAAAAATAACCCATAACTTATTCACTTTCAATTCTTCTCATGACAGACGTCATTAATGAAATCGTTTCTAATAAGTCTTTTAATAGCAAAAAGGTAAGAACGAGTATTATAAATAATAGGGACTTTAAGTTGCAGGACGGCAACGCGGGCGACAACATCGGCGAAATTGAGGCGCTTCAACCTTCTATTGTTTTATTATTTCGTGTTTACCTAGTGTTTTACTCAATAAGCACCGCCGTTTTATAGTAAAATGGCGTCTTTTGGGAGCCCTTTACTTAAAACGAAAATCAGCAAAGATAAGCTTTTGGCGTAGCCGTTCTCTTTAGTACGTGAAAATATGACATTTCACGTCTTACTTTCAGCATAAGAAGGCAATGATGCACAGTATTTCGTACATTCCAACGAGTATCTATTGAATAGCGCAATTAGTGTTATTGTATGGTTGCCGTCGTCGTCGTCGTTGCCGTCCTGCAGCTTAAGGTCCCTAATGATAATATAATAGTTGTTAATATGACCTCCATATAATTGTTGGTCAGTGTTGTGTATATGTGTGGGGGTGGGGGGAGAGGATTCACCACAGTGGTTAGGGGAGAGGAGGTTTAGGTTCACCACATTAACCAGGGGAGGGGAAGGTTTATCACAGTGGTATGGGGAGGGCAGGGTTGTGTTCACCATGGCAGCCAGAGGGGAGAGTTGGGTTCACCACAGTGGCAAAGGGAGGGGAGGGTTGTGTTCACCACAGTGGCAAGGGGAGGGCAGGGTTGTGTTCACCATAGCAGCTAGAGGGGAGAGTTGGGTTCACCACAGTGGCAAGGGGAGGGGAGAGTTGGGTTCACCACAGTGGCAAAGGGAGGGGAGGGTTGTGTTCACCACAGTGGCAAGGGGAGGGCAGGGTTGTGTTCCCCATAGCAGCCAGGGAGAGGGTTGGGTTAACCACATTATCCAGTGGAGGGGAGGGAAGGGTTTACCACAGTAGCAAGGGGAGGGGAGGGGTGGGTTCACCATAGCAGGCAGGCGGGGAAGGTTGGGTTCACCACAGTAGCAACCACAGAAAATACACACATTACCCCTAATAGAAAGTATAGTCAACACAGCACAAAAAAGAAAAGAAAAGACAAGCATATGACAGGAGGCGGTAACAGGACAGAGTCCCAAAAGACAACCGCCCCCTTAAATGTGAGCAATATGTAGTGCAGTATAACCTCGATAAATKTTTGGTTATGTACAAAGGATATATATGTCACACATTGTGCTGCAAATCATTCTAGAAATCGAATAAAAGTGGATTTTGAAAATATGTTTTTCTGACTAATATATGCATATCTATCATTCCTTTTCAAGGTCATTCAATATGAAGGACCCATGATTACTCTAGCAGCAATATCACTGACATTTGCTTTAGCCATGCCAATCACTGGATTGATTGTCTGCTGTCGCTGTTTAGACCATAAATGTTGTGGAACTCTTAATGAAGACAAAAAGTTAGATATCCGTCCGACAAAGAAGCGAAAGCTGTATGCTTTGGCACTCATAGTTTGTTCTATATTTCTTATGTAAGTTAATATTATTTTTGTTTTTCCATATTATATTATGGTAGTCAGAGCATAAGTTTTTCACTTTCCAAAGTACCCCTACCCCCTCCCCCACAATACCAACTCACTAGAAAGTATTAGGGGAGGGGAGGGATGGTCAATGGAAAGGGATAAATACTCAAGTTACATTTTATTATGAAACACTTGGTTAAACTACATTATCCTTCATTTTCGGTTTCATTTGAAAGATAATTGTAGGCATCGATGTAATGCTTATAGATCATAAATCATTGTAATGTTAATTTGGCAACTATTTTAACAATAGGTTTTGTTCCTTTGCTTTATTACCATCAATTCATCACCTTACCCTCATCTATATATCTCTATAATTATGTATACTCCAGGGGCATAGCAAGGATTTTCCAGGGGGGTTGGGTGGAATGGTTTGTTTGTGCCACCAAAATGCTGAACTAAAAAAAACTTTAAAAAGGCCTCGTTGGGGTTTTTTATATATGAGAACTACAAGGTTTTTCTCATTGTTTTGATGCTGTATAATTACATTATTTTCAATGTGAAAGTGAGAAAATATCCATACCTCATCCATAGAGGAAATTGGAAATTCTGGAGGGGAGGGTCAGAGAAAGAACAAAATTACAGAGTTTGTATGGAAGAAAATTGAAAATTCCTGGGGTAGGGGGTCCTTTTACAAATTCCCTTCGTCAGGTAGTGGGGTATGGATATTTTCTGGAACTACACTATTTAATATTGTTAATGAAAAAATACTTAGTTTAAATGAAAATATGTACATATATCTTTGATGATAAAGTAATAATAAATCTTTTAATTAACTTTAATTTTATTACCTTCATAGAACTGGTGCCATTATCATTTTTGCATCCACCTCCAAAATGACTGGCACTTTACCCAAAGCAAGAACGACATTTGATGATGCTTTTGATGATATCGTTACCTACAAAAATAATAGTTTTAAGGTAATCAATGCCACCTAAAAGATTTTAATAATAAGATATTAAATAAAATTACTTTAATAATGATAATAATAATAATAATAATAATAATAATAAACTTTGTTTATAGAGGATAACACTTGACAGTAATTGAACTGATAAACTTGTGGTCCTCTGTTAACGTCTCTAGTTAATTAGGGACGGGACTGTCATTAACGTGATCATCCGAGCCACGTGAAGGTCTAACCATTTGCAGATGTAATTATAAAGGCAGCACCTTCTCCTCAGTTATTTTAAGACCCTGAGTGTTGGTCCGGCCGAGGCTTAAACCACGACCTCCTGCACAACACACCGACGCTCTTACCAACTGAGCTAGCCGGGTGGTGGTTAAAAAAAACTCGTCATTACTAATCAACACTGCAAGTACAACAGTGTTGTGCAGCTCAACGGGGTTGACTGAAAGCATGTGAAGGCACCCCTGGCAGCTGCTATGCAGTCCATGTATGACCCTGGAGAACCAGYTTAAATTAGTTAGGGTTTACATGATATTCAATATAAATTTATTCTGATTGCATAGAGTGGTCCTGTGAAATGGCAAGTTCATTTATTATAAGTATACTTATACTGAGATTTTTTGATAATTAATATTAATAAAGATAATAATTGTAATTTTTAATTATTAAATTATTGGTCTTTTTTATAGAAAATGAACCACATTGTTGGGCCGGAAATGTTGATAGTTCTTGATAATGTTATCAAAGAGATTGTTGGTGAGTATTGAGATAATATAGAGTGCAAACAATATATAACTTTAGTAACACTAAATGGCACAATTTCATGCAAATTCCATTGTTTTCTATTGTTTAATTAGCACTATTTTGTACTATTTAGTAACTAGTGTTTCACGGATTAATTGTTTGCACTCTACCATAACAACAGCTTTAGATAAGTAATTTAATGTTACATTATTTAGGTGGTACTGGTTAGTGTTTCAGCACAGTAATGGTTTTTCAGGTCAAGGGGGGGGGGGATGTCAATACCTGCATTGTTGTATTTTTACAGTCAATGTCAGCTCATTGGCATTATCATGCAACACGAAGAAACCCTTTGCCACCCTGTTCAGTCTGTTGTTTGGTTATACAAAGACTTTCAGTCTCACTTACTGAACAACTACTATAGCCGGGGCCACTTAGACAGGGAGAACCAATCAAATTGTAGAATAAAAATGATACATTCCAACTTTGGGTATTGGAGCCAATCAGAAAGCAGCAGAAAACAATTACTTTTCGAGATATCTTTTTATTCCCACGAGAAAATGACAATGGCTATCTAGTTGTTTACACGTAACATCAGGGTCAGATTATATTATTAGTCTAGGTTTCTGATTGGCTCTCGCTGTCCAAATGGTCTTAAAGTGGCCCTGGTTAGAGTCATTGCACTGTAATCCCCAATTATTTTTATTATTATTTTTGCAATTATTTTTGTGTGTGTTTACTATTCTTTTATCAAATTAAATGATTTTCCTTTTGTGCCTAGGGCTGGGGGAGGACATAGTAAACCCAATCATCAAACAGGGCGGTCCACTTGTTATTAATCTGGTCAACTCGGCCATTAAACTTAACAAAGGTAAGACTCTTTTATCAATATATATTATTATAATGCTTTTAAAATAGAGTAATCTTTGAGCTAGCCATGCCCTGACTTAGATCAGCCCAGAGGTGGTGTCAGGGTTCAATCTGTGAGTTAGCCATGCCCTGACTTAGATCAGCCCAGAGGTGGTTTCAGGGTTCAATCTGTGAGTTAGCTGTGACCTGACTTAGGTCAGCCCAGAGGTTGTTTCAGGGTTCAATCTGTGAGTTAGCCATGCCCTGACTTAGATCAGCCCAGAGGTTGTTTCAGGGTTGGATCAGTGAGTTAGTTGTGCCCTGACTCATTAGATCAGCCCAGAGGTGGTTTCAGGGTTCGATCTGTGGTTGTTCCAGGCTTTGAACTGTAGTACTTAGCTCACTCTGACAGTGCCCTAACTAATTGATCAACACTTGAGATTTCAGGTTATGTATTGATAAAATGTTATGGTTTGAGTGTTTAACAAAATTAAATCCACTATAATCAACTTACAGATATAACAAGCTCACTTAATCTTCTTGAAGATGTACAAAATACAGTATCATCATTGGTTTCCGATGGTAAAAAACTAGATGAGGTTTTATCTGAGTCAAGACAAAACATATCAGATGCAAGAAGTGAATGCAATTCACCAATCCCAAAAGATGAATGTAAATCAATACCAAATGAAAAGCTGCTTACTGGTGAAGCTAACTTCACTCAGGTCCCAAATATCACCGATACAAAGAACAGAGTGCAGGATGTTGTGAACACCAAYTTGACTCAAGAAGCTGATAAGGTTTGTGGTGTAACTATTAACTTTAACTAGTATATATACTTGGTACATGTACTTACTTACTTAAAGCACACTGTGTTATTTATATGTTGAGATAACTAGCTAAAAACTAGTGTGAACTGCGTCGCTGTTTCTAATGAAACAGTAATGATAAAAAGGTAAATTATACACTGTGAAAAGATGAAAAAACTTACTGACGTTTCGGACGCTAGTCCTTCATTGGAGTAAAAGAGCAAGTTCTTTCATAATCTTTTACTCTGACAAAGGACTAGCGTCCGAAACATCAATAAGTTTTTTCATCTTTTCACGTTGTATCATTTTACCCTTTTATCATAACTGTATTATATGTTTTTCATTCGGGTCTAATGTTTTCTCATTACAAACCCATGTGTCATTCTCTTGAGAATAAGATTCTTCGTTTGAGTTGTATCCATATTCATGTGTCTTCTCATGTGCAACCATTAAACAAAGAAATGATACTCTAGGGAATGACACATGTTCAGAAATGGGAAAACATTCAGTCATCTGTCTTCTCATGTGCAACTGTTCAACATAGAAGTAGTTCTCTAAGAAATGGTGCACGCTGACTAAAAAGGAAAAATTGCTCTACTGCACAATGATAAATATTCTATTTAAAAGTCTATTTCCAAATACTATACGTCTATTAAGTTTGTTCTTTTCTGATGAGTATATATGCAATATGTATATAATAGCTTACATGTTTTATTGCAGGGTAACAAGTCCTTTCATAATCTTCCAAAGAAAGTTCAAAACATGGCCTCAAACTTTACATCAGGTAAAATTTCTCACACATGTTCGGAAAATGTTTCGTACAAAATGCTAACCATCCCCCCCTTATACCTTATTCTCCCTTAAATGGTTTACCTTTTAGCAATGAAAATATGTATACACCTATTTCAAAAAAGGTTGTCTCACCTAAATTAAGGAAAACAGGATAGGTCATTCCAAGAAAGGAATTCTGGTCATTAAACTAAACAAGTTTTCATCGAGTATCTCAACACTAAGCTCCGCGTTCTTGACAGGAATAAGAAACACATTCCAAGTTATTGTTTCCAGCTATTCATGGGTCTTGAAATAACCTAGCACCTATCGCTAATATTCACTTATTATATCTCATGTTTCGAATAAACAGGCTTCGAGAATTACACGAGCGAAGTGAAAAACATCTCGACAGACTTTTTAAGACCGTTAGAAGACAAAGTGGATAACGTAAGTACTAGTAAAATATTAGTTGGAAATCTTACCTTTAGAGAAAACTTCCTGTTGTTTCTTGTTGTACAAACTCCGTCAGATATTATTTCATGTGTTACACGTAGTATTAAAGGAAATGTTTAGGATAAATATTGAGCAAAGTTTTTTGAACTCCCTCCATTTTGTTGGACGTAGATTAGACACGGAAAGGTCAGAAGCGCATGCGTCTTGGACCCGAGAGCGACTGTTTCCCGCCAAAATTCCGACGAGGTTTACTACTCTCCTCTCTCAGCATTCCGCGTGCTTAAATCAGTATTTTTTTAGACAACTGTTTAATATTTCTTAATTTTATACTTCGATTCATTTTCGAGTTTTAAATGTATTTTAATTTTCGTACGCACAATCTCGAGTACAATAGGCCATTTCACGGATCCCGTTACTCAACCTCAGCTTCGTCAGCGTGTAATTATTCTTAGTAGAATTTGACTACAGTCCGCAATAATGAAAGGAATTTACATATCAACGAACAATTGAAACGCTTAAAAATTTCACAGGTCGCAGGTAATTTCTAAAGAATATATTACACGCTGACGAGGCCGAGGTTGAGTAACGGGATCCGTGAAATGGTCTATTCGGAATTTCTAGGCACGAGTGATGTTTTGAAAGTTTTCAAAATTGGACGAGCCTTTAGGCGAGTTCAATTTGAGAACTTTCAAAACATCTCGAGTATCTATTAATTCCGAATTGTACGAGAAGATTGTGCGATTTTTTGTTTATAATACACTCAAAAAAATTGGGCAACTTAATTTGGACCTACAGAGTACAATTATACTCAAGATCGTGCGATTTTTTGTTTATAGTTCACTCAACAAAATTTCTGTAAAAAATGCGAAGCGACGCCGTTCATCTCTGTCTATTTTGCGGCCGATTTTCAGTCCATCGCGCCACTGAAATGCATAAGAAAGATTAGTTCTTACGGGTTTAAAATTTTATTTATATGTTTTTTAAGTACAAAATGATAGAAAATAATTGTTTTGACATTGTTTTGGCCGTATTGCAAATAGCGACTTAATTCTATACTTCTACGGAGTACAATTAACGCTATAATTGTACTCCTCTCGACCAA